GCGGACCGCGATGTGTGGGGTGGGGCGGGTTATTCTCACTTGTCCTCTCACTGTTTCTCTCTTTCCAGAAAGCACATGTGCCCTAATGCAAAAATCTCTTAAAAAAAAAAAAAAAAAAACTTCTTAGGAAATAATTAAAATAGGTGGACTATATACAAATATACTATATTTGGCCTGCTCTGCTTTTAATTTGCCAGAGGGCGCTTGTATTCAACAGAGAGAGGGAGGTAAAGTAAGAAAGCACACCTCCCCAGAGAAATGGTCATGCCACAACCCCTTCTCCATTTCTCCCTCCTTCAGGGATGTTTGGGTTTGCACATGCATGTGCTTAGCATGTTTTTCAAGCTGCCAGGTTCAGGACTTGAACCACGCAGGCAGTCATATGGGATCCAGCATCTTGACCGCCATGCCACCAAATGGCCTATATTTGGCTTCTAAAAGAGAAATCGTGAAGTCTCTGGAAAAGATCAGCTTCAGGGTTTACTGGACACAACTTTGAAGTGTTACCCCAGGATTTATTCCAGCTCTTCTCCCAAGATTTATTCCCGCCCTTCTACATAGACCAAGAATATATCATATAAATACCAAGTCTAGAAAGCCAGATCTAGGCTGGCTGCAGTTTTAATTCTAGCCCTGATAGTTTAAAAAACAGGCCAAGCACATGTGCATATGTGCTTGAAAAATCCTGACAGGAAGGAGAAATGGAAGAAAAAGGACTGCAGCATGACCACATCCTATTGGGAATGCTTTCTCTTTCTCTAGAGAATGGACATGCCCTCTAACAATTAAAAACTACGTAACATGACTAACTTCAACCAATATCGTCCTTGCAATGAAAGTATTTTCTAGTCAACTAAGTACAAAACATATATACATGGCATATAACTAAAAAAATAAACACCAAGCTTCCTGCACCCCCCAACTCCCTGCCACCTAGTTCCTCTGTTTTGGGATGACCACTCTTGCAGGTTCTGGGCCTATCCTTTCAGATATAGTCTACCCATGCTAACCTTTGAAATCATGTTCATCCCCATGGCATCCCCTGACTTAGACTGGAAACGGATATAAAGGTTGCGTCCAGCCATACTCATATGAAGTTTCTGCAGACGTGCAAATCTGTAAACAAAGAAACAAAGATTGTATTTTTTTTTTAAGAAGATGAAAATTATCTAAAAATCTACTTCAATCACTTCATTTCATATAAGAGAAAGTTCACAGAGATTAGTCCAAATAAAAACAAACATATTAGCTTGAATTATACTGGTACGGTAGCTTTTATTGACATGCTTCTTGGTAAATTTAACTTCCTACATTATAAGTAAATCTATTATACTTCTATCCTGGTTGAAAATCCTTTTTCTAAAACAACTCTCCCCTAAGGCAAAGTAACAATCTAATCAGATTTGCTAGGTCATGAAAATATTCACTGAATCAACATTGTTTCTTCCCCCAAGCATTTCCCCTATTCATTATGAATGAACAGATTTAAAATAGATATGTTGTTAGATTGTTTTAAGTAGGCAACATGCTAACAGTTACATTTAGAAATCACAGAAAATAGCACTAGTTTTCAAATAAACATAAATGTACATAAAAATCCACTCGCACACCTGCTGGTGCTGTCAAATGCCTCCTTTATCACTGTGAACCCTTCAGGTGTTTCGAGCCAAGCCTTCACTTCTGCAGAGTCACAAGCACGGGGAAGACGTACCACTGGGCCACGAGTCATCCCATCAGCAAGGATTCGACTGGTGGCACCTCCACCAAGCTGTGCAAAGTATGTTACAGAGACACATATTAATTCTTCTGCTCGTCCTTGACTGACTGTAAATCTCTTGTTGTTGCCTTTATTGGGTGTATTTTAAAACATCCAGATGTATAAATGCCAACTTACACCTATTGCTCTGCAACCTCTGTTAGTGCTGGCCACAAGACAGCCTTCTGTTGTTGCCATTGGAACCTGAAATTCTTTCCCATCCAAGCACAGAGGTCCGGCCACTCCCACAGGGATGGGCATGTATCCAATAACATTCTCACAACAAGCTCCCATCACCTAAAAGGGAACATCAGGCACCATGTGAAAATCTCCATACACAAATTACATAGTAATTCAATGAAGCCCTTGTCATTAATAACAGTCTTCAAACTTAGGGCTTTCATGAAGTTTTCAACAAGAGCTTTTAAAGAATTATTGTATTTAATTGTATTAATTATTATTTTTAATTATGACCAGTGAGAGAAAGAGAAAGTGACAAAGCAAGCTACCAGGTCTGAGACTAAAGCTGTGGTTGGCCATGTGGGAGTCCATCGCCTTAACCATCATGCCACCTGCCGGTCCCTTCAACAAGATTTTTCATTTAATATACTCTTTTGTTTTTAATAATTATTTTATTTAACTTTATTTATTTGTTTATTTTTCAATATGACCAGAGAAAGTGATAAAGCAAGCCGCCAGGTCTGGGACTCGAACTATGGTCGGCCATATGGGAGTCCCATGCCCCTAACCACCATCTAACCTGCCACTTCCCTTAATTTATTCTTTAAAAGTGCTTAAAAATACTAGCATTACTGAGAAATATAGAAACAAGAAAAAAATGTGAATGCCTATGACCCACACCATAAAAAGTAAAAAAGAAAGAAAGAAAGAAAAGAACATACCAAGGAGTAATTATAATCCCTATAAGGTAGGTACTGGAGAGAAGAAGGCTCTGGAAGCTTTTTGGAAAGTAACTGCCGACGAATAGATACACCTCGTTCATGGGTTTCCATCAGAGTTTCCAATTTGTACGGTGGGATATGCTTGGCATCGACTAATTGGATGATCTCAGCATCACTAAGGAATTTTGCACCTTTCTAAAGTAGGAAAAAAAAAAAAGAGAGGGATAAGGTCAGAGAGGGAGATGGTAGAAAGGCCAAAAGGTCTGTCCTTTAAATGATTCATAGCAAACAGACTATTTATTTTTGTTGTTTTAGAGGTTTTTGCCTTAGGGCATAAGCACTTGTTGGGTGGGGAGACCAAGACAATGAGAAAGAAAGTGAATAATCACCCCCGAGGGGGATGGCCAGCCACAATCCCTTCTCCTTCATTCTCCTCCTGGGATCTTGAGTGATATAACTGTCACACCATCTGCTGGTCTGCACAAATAACTATTTAATAAGCTATGCTACACTAATATGAACTTTTTATATCACGATAGCTTATTAAAAAGATACTCCTATAAAATAATTCAAAATCAGTGATGGCAAATTAAAAATATGTGACTCATGGCCACACACACAAAGAAAACCTCGTTCAAGTCTCAAAGTGTCAAGCTTAAAAAAGAAAACAAACAACAAACTCTTTTTTTTGGAGAGGTTTTTTTTTTTTTTTTTTTGCTATAGGGCGCATGTGCTCACCAGAGACAGAGAGACAGAAAGCGAGAAATCACCCCTCAGGGGGGATGGTCACGCTGCAATCCCTTCTCCTCCATTCTCCTCTTGGGATCTTGGGCATGCACACACACGCGCCCGGCGTGAGTTTTAAGCCACCGGGTCCGGGACGCGAACTGTGGTCGACTACGTGGGAGTCCGGCAACATAGCCAATACACCAACTGCTGGTCCCAACAACAAATTTTTTTTTTGAGAGATTTTCGCTATACAGCACATGCGCTCGCCAGACAGACAGAGAGAGACATAGAGACAGAAAGCGAGAAATCACCCCCCAGGGGGGATGGTCACGCTGCAATCCCTTCTCCTCCATTCTCCTCTTGGGATCTTGGGCATGCACACACACGCGCCCGGCGTGAGTTTTAAGCCACCGGGTCTGGGACGCGAACCGCGGTCAACTACGTGGGAGTCCAGCGACATAGCAATTACGCTAACTGCTGGTTCCCCCAACAACAAATTTTTTGAAGCTCATCTCTGTGTTAAACCCTTTCTTCCACACCTCCACATACATGTAAGATTACAGCAGGTGCTCATCTCTATGGTAAACTAAATAAAAACTAGACAAACTTTATTTTAAAGAATTATTTTATTTAACTTTATTTATTATTATTATCATTATTATTTTCCAGTTTGATCAGAGAGAGACAGAAAGAGAGAGAGGAAGTGAGAAAGCAAGCCACCAGGTCCGAGACTTGAACCGTGGTCGGCCATGTGGGAGTCCTGCGCCTTTAACCACCATGCCACTTGCCGGCCCCTAGACAAACTTTTCCAGTAGTAAACTAGAAAGAGTTTTTTGACTGTGAAGTCAGAAAATTTAGGGACCTGCTACCAGCTTTTTCACTTCCTAAAGATTTATTACTTTGGGGAAATGGCTTGGCCTCTTAGAGCCTTAGCTTTCTCATCTGAAAAATGAGGAAGGTCGGGAACCAGCAGTTAGCATAATGGCTATGTCGCTGGACTCCCACGTAGTCGACCGCAGTTTGAGTCCCGGACCCGGTGGCTTAAAACTCACGCTGGGCGCATGTGTGTGCGTGCCCAAGATCCCAAGAGGAGAAGGGATTGCGGCGTGACCATCCCCTCTGGGGGGTGATTTCTCACTTTCTGTCTCTATGTCTCTGTCTGTCTGGCGTGCGCATGCGCCCTATAGCGAAAACCTCTCCAAAAAAAAAAAAGAGGAAGGTTGTGGGGAATAAATAAAATAATGACAGTTATCTGTAAACCACGTGACATGGTATTTGGAATTTAGTAGTACTCAGCATGCATTATTATTGACAGGTTTTCCTTCCTTTAAGAAAAAAAAGCTCCTTTTTAAAGAAAAAGTCCAAGCTTATGTTTGTTACTGTCCTCACCTCTGCATTTGCAAGTATCTGTAGACATTCTTCATTAGGCCGAGGCTCCCTGGGAAGCTCAACTTCAGATTCCCGTGTTGCCAGATCCGAGGAAGTATCGAATGAATTACCAACCACAAATGTAGCTCTGTTTGAGGTATCCGTTTCAGCCACTAAGGGTTTTATAACCTCAACTATTTAAGAAATCAAAAGAAATCTCTCAACACAACCTAATTTTAAAAATGGACTTAATTTTTTGATCAATCAGCAATGGAAGACTTGAAGGTGAAGAAAGTAAGAAGTTACCTTTTCTTTCTTGGTTTATCCCTGTCTCTTCTTCCACTGACTGGAATTTCTGGTTACTTCTGACTAGCCCAGGTTCACGCCTACAACAATTGTCTGGGACTTTCTTTTGGGTCACTACAGGAGATGTGATAGGGTTTTTTAATGAGAGTGTAGATTCTGTCTCTGCTTGTTCAAAGAAGATGTACTTCACAGCCAGAAGGAGAGCTAAACTTAGCGTAATAACTTGTTCAATATCCATGCTGATCATCCTGAATAAGAAACAGTAAATTAAAATGTTATCATTCAGAAATGTAAAAGGCAAGACCTAAACTTATAATAGTATAGCGTGCTATAATTTATTTACGACAAAGTAGATCTCAGTTAACTTACTTAGAGAGATAAAACTGCCAGAGTGAAACACTTGGTTCAATTCTCTTGGACACATTTTCATCTAGTCCTAGTGACATCTTAGAATTTTCTGCTGTACTGTTATGAGGAGAAGGATCAGCTATCCAGCGACTATGAGCATGAACGAGAACCAAGCCTAGAGACTGAAATAAAATTTTACAAGTTATATATCCTCTGCATATCAATGGAAATCTAAATTTCTCACCGCTAGCAACTAGACAACTGGACACTATCTTCCATGGCCCCCCTTTTACCATAAGAAAGTCCCCCAGCTTGCTAGGTGACTAAGTGGCTTCAATGAATTACTGAAAACATTCCCAAGAAAGGCTGGAGATAAGGTGGAGGAGAATGGAAAATCTGTGTAGAGAGAGATTCACAGAGATCAGAAGTCTCAAGAAATGAACTAGTTAAAAAAAAAAAAAAAAAAGGAAGAAGAGGATAAAATATTTTTAAGAGCCAAAAGCCACAGGAAAAAGATAGGAAGGAAAAGGAAAAGGAAATTATTTTTTTTAAAGATTGACATTAGAGAACTGAGGATAATGAAAGGAGAAGCAAACTGTATCATTACCATAATCATCTTGACCCTTTGAGTTACAGGATTTGGTTTATTTTCTTCTTCTTCTAAAACTCGGGCAAAATGGCTGAGCTGCCAAATTGGTCGACCCTCACGGCTTTCCCGAGAAAGCTACAAAGTAAGGCAGTGTTACATTACAAGGTGTTGATTCAGTTTAGGAGAACTGGTATAATGAAAAATAAAACTCTTTACTAACACCATAAGGTAGAACTGCTCTTACCTCTAATACCAGGGACACACAAGCTGGGAAGAAAGTCATGAACACAAAGTAGTTGGCCAGAACTGACATGCAGCCAAAGCAGCACATGATTTCAAGTTGGCGCACTCCTAGTCAAAGAAAAATGGAACGTGTAACTGAAAAAGCATGTGTGTTTTCAATGTTTCATATAACACACAAAAATACCAGTATACTAAGTAAGCTCTTTGCTATCTACCGGAAACAGAATGAGAAATTCAGAGGCAATGCCAAACCTTGGAGGACAGAGGAATTACAAAACTCTGGGACCAGCAGTTGGCATAATGGCTATGTCGCTGGACTCCCATGTAGTCAGGGGTGGTTGGCCACGTCTCAATCCTTTCTCCTCCATTCTCCTCTCAGGATCTTGGGCATGCATGCGCGTGAGTTTAAGCCACCGGGTCCGGGACTCAAACCGTGGTCGACTACATGGGAGTCCAACAGCATAGCCATTATGCCAACTGCTGGTCCCCTTTCCCATTTTTTTTTTTGTTTGTTAAGGATAAATTTTTAAAATAAATTTTAAGGATTTCCTTGGTATATAAAATTGTTGTTGAATGACAGAATAACTAACTTACCCTCAGAAAATTACAACATTCAGTATTTAACATACTACCCAGTGAAGAGGCCTCAACTAATAATAATCAATTATTCCTTTAAAAGTTAGATTGTGTACTTCTAAATTAATAAGGCCCTTCATTGAGGGCTCTAACACACCAAGAGATACACTAGAGCAGTAGAACTAAGTATGGTCTTCCTGAAAAGGCCGATTAGGCAACCATAATCACATAATATATTCATTACGGCAAATTTCCATGCTAGGCAGTAATTTTTATCCTATATAATGGAGTCTTATGTTTGATATTTAATATTTAATTCTCTACTATCCAATTAAGAATGAAGAAACATGTTCTGAGACTAATGCTGAGTACCTGCTAAGATGTACTGCTTATGGTCTGATTAAATCATCTCAACCACCTTATCAGGTATACCTGTCCAATTCCTAACTCTTACACTGTCACCTACATGGTAATTAAAACACAAGGAACTAAGTCACTAATTTAGTCTAGGCAACAGCAAAGTTTAGAAGGTACTTTCCAGACCCACACTGGAAAACAACCTTGGTTAAAACCAGATAAAGCCTAAATTAACAAAAATGCCATAGACAAAGCAGATCACAAAGAAGCTAACAAGGGTGAAAAATAAATCAATAATCTGCTACCAAATTTTCTCCAAAGCCAACAGACACAGAGTGAAAACCAACCCCACAATAATGTAGTTAAGTCTCAAAGTACTTAAAAGGGGCCAGCAGGTGGCGTGGTGATTAAAGTTCTGGACTCCCACATGGGCGAACATGGTTCAAGTCCTCGACCTAGTGGCTTTTTCTTTCTTCCTTTTTTTTGGAGAGATTTTTGCTATAGGGCGCGTGAGCTCGCCAGAAAGACAGAAAGAGACAGACAGAAAGCAAGAAATCACCCCCTGGGGGGATGGCCACACCACAATCCCTTCCCCTCTATTCTCCTCTCAGGATCTTGGCCACACACACGCCCGGCGTGAGCTTAAGCCACCAGGTCTGGGATTAAAACCACAGTTGACTACATGGGAGTCCATCGACACTGCCATTACGCCAACTCCTGGTCCCAGTGGCTTGCTTTCTTACTTTCCCTTTCTCTCTTTCTCTGGTCAAATTGAAAAATAATGATAAATAAAATAATAAAATAAAATGCATAATTCTTTTATTTAGAAAGAGTAACTTAATTGTCAGAATTTACAATAAGGCAAAATCCAAGCTGTTCTTTTCCTCTTTAGTAACATACATATTTTAAAATATATTAAAATTGCTTACAAACCTGACATGGTACCAACTCCAATCACAAGACATTCCACAAGAGCATCAAGGGTAAATGTAGGACCTAAAATTGCCATTCCACGAGCAATATTTTCTCTTACTTCATCCTAAACGACAGATCAAACATATCAATGAAGTTAACTTTTTAAAGTGTGAGGGAACATCGTGGGGCATATACAAAAATCTACTCTACTATTCAAAGAATAAAATATACAATATGATAAGACTCACAGGTGTTCAATATACAAAGTATGGTAACATTAAAGAGGATGTTTAAAAAAGAACATATACACCAACACAGTGGACTGCTTTCTTTTCCAATGAAAGAGGTATTTCTTGGAAATACTTTGAGGTGGTGCATTAATCCTATCATTTAAATTCCACATAATTAAATTCTACAACAATTTTTTTAAAGATTTATTTTTAATTTATTATCATTATGCTTCTATTTTAATCAGAGAGAGACAGAGAGAAAGGAGAGTGAGAAAGCAAACCACCAGGTCCAGGACTTGAACCGTGGTTGGCCATGTGGGAGTCCAGTGCCTCAACCACCATGCCACCGGCCAGCCCCCAAATTCTACAACATTTTATATTCGGGTTACCACTGGTGGAAGATATTAACAGCAAATTTTTTCTGAGATTGTATTATAAAATCTAAATCATCCCTTGTTGTTATGCTCAAATGATCATTAATATTTAACAACACATCATTTGGATAGAATACATGCTGCTTTATATTTATGATACTCAGATCTAAATTGTACATTCTTTTTTTTTTTTAATGTTTTTCCCCCAATTGCCAAGGGAAATACACTCACAGAAAGGCAGAGAGACAAAGAAAAAAAGGAAGAAAACACTCCCCAGTGGTCATGCCTCATTGTGCAAGCTTCCAGAGCTAGAATTCAAACCTTGATTGGCTATGTAGGATCTGACTCCCTTAACCACTAGGCTATAGGGCCAGTCCAAAAGAAGTTTAGTTATTCATTCATTCATTCATTTATTTATTTAGGAAGGAGAGATTTTTGCTATAGGGCGTGTGTGCTCACCAGAAAGACAGAGACAGAAAGTGAGAAATCACCCCCCAGGGGGATGGCCACTCCACAGTCTCTTCTCCTCCATTCTCCTCTTGGGATCTTGGGCATGCACGCACAAGTGCCCAGCGTGAGTTTAAGCCACCAGATCCAGGACTCAAACTGCAGTTGACTACAAAGGAGTCCAGGGACACAGCCATTACACCAACTGCTGGTCCCAAAGTTAGGTTATTTAAAGTGACTAATGAACATCAAGATGAAACTTAACATGGGAACAGTTAGTATTAACTTAAAGAGTTTAAGATAAATTTATTCTGAGGCTTTCTTCATTAGATTTTGTTCTGCTCTCTGATGTGTTTCACTATGTAGATACTCATTTATTCAAGTCATATTGTCATAATTTCTGAAAGTCTTAAGAAGGAAAATGGGAAAATTCCAAATTCCAGGAGCTATGGAATTATAACTGAGTCATTAGATAAAAGGGACTTGCCCTTGAGCACTTATGAAGACCAATCTTAGAACTTGAAAATTAAGCTTAAAAAAAATGGGATAATTCCTGAATCTTGGCCTTTGAAGAAATTCTATTAAGCCCTCCTCTTATAGGAAACACTGAAAAGAGAGATACTACTCCCATCCTTGTCTTAAAATACTACTTACCTGAGAGTTGGAACTGAGGGCAAACTTGGCTAATGCACTTGCTCTGGAAAGGTCAATCAAAAGTAGGAAAAAAGGCAAAGCTTCACTGGAAAAAAAAAACACACAATTAAGTATTTTTGGAGAGTATTTTTTTTTTTTGAGAGGTTTTTGCTATAGGGCACATGCGCTCGACATAAAGACAGACAGAGAGACAAAAAGCAAGAAATCATCCCCCAGGGGAGATGGCCATGCTGCAATCCCTTCTCCTCCATTCTCCTCTCAGCATCTTGGGCGCATACACACGCACCCGGCATGAATTTAAGCCACCAAGTCCAGGACTCGAACCGTGGTTGGCTACATGGGAGTCCAGCAACATAGCCATTATGCTAACTGCTGGTCCCACGATTAAGTATTTTATAATAGAGGGGACCAAGCAGGTGGTGTGGTGGTTAAGGAGCTGGACTCCTACATGGCAGACTGTGGTTCGAGGCCCTGACCTGGCAGCTTAATTTCTTGCTTTCCCTCTCCCTCGGCTTGCTTTCTCACTTTCTCTCTCTCAGCTTGCTTTCTCGCTTTCTCTTTCTCTCTCTCAGCTTGCTTTTTCACTTCCCCTCTGCCACCAACCCCCTCTGTCCCTCTGCGGTCAGGTTAAAATAAATAAATAAAGTTTAAAAAGTTATTTTTTTTTAATAACACCTCAACAAAAAGGTCTTTTTTTTTTTTTTTTTTTTTTAGAGGTTTTTCCTATAGGGGGCGGTCCCTCCAGACAGACAGAGACAGACAGAGAGACAGAAAGTGAGAAATCACCCTCCAGGGGGGATGGTCAAGCAGCAATCCCTTCTCCTCCATTCTCCTCTCAGGATCTTGGGCAGGAGCGCACACGCGCCCAGCGTGAGTTTTAAGCCACTGGGTCCGGGACACGAACCACAGTCAACTACGTGAGAGTCCAGTAACATAGCCATTATGCTAACTGCTGATTCCCTAAAAAGTTTACTTTTAATAGAGGAAAATATAGTTTTTAAAAATCCCTTTTGGGGCCAGTAGATGGTGCAGTGGTCGAGGCACTGGACTCCCATATAGCCAACTATGGTTTGAGTCCCAGACCTGGAGGCTTGCTCTCTCACTTTCTCTCTCTCTCTCTCTCTCTCTGGTAAAATTAAAAAATTAAAACAAATAATAAAGAGTGTGTTTTTTTAATCCCTTTCTAAAAAACTCCCCATTCCTTATATTGATTAAATGATCCTATAGTATATGTCCCTTTCTGAGGCTTCCTCAAAGCTAAACAGTAGTTTAAAATACTTGTTAACATTATTTTTTTTAAGAATATTTTTATTGGGGCCAGCAGGTGGCATAGTGGTTAAGGATGCTGGACTCCCACATGGCTGACCATGGTTCGAGTTCCAGACCTGGCAGATTGCTTTCTCATTTTATCTCTCTCTCATTCTGTCCCTCTCTGGTAAGATTAAAATAAATAAATAATATAAAATAGTTAAATAAAATGATTTTTTAAAATGAATATTTTAACTAATTTATTTTTAATTTTTTTTAGTTTGCTATAGGATGTGCACTTGCCAGACAGAGAGGGAAAGTGAGAAAGCACCCCCCGGGGGGGATGGCCACACCACAGTCCCTTCCTCAGTCTTCCCTAGGGATCTTGAGCATGCAGGTACACATGCCTGGTGTGTTTTTCAAGCTGCCAGGTCGAGAACTTAAACTGCAAAGTTGGCCATGTGCCACACCTCCTATTGTATCATTTTTAATGTTGAAATGTAAATTTATTTAAATCGAAACAACTTTTGATAGTTTTCTTGCAACATCATCCTTGAATAAGCATGTGGAAAATATATTTAATAGTGTAAAGGACTTATAAAAAAAAAAAAAAAAATATATAACATATATATATATATATATGTGTGTGTGTATATATATATATATATATGTGTGTGTGTGTGTATATATATATATACATATATATATATACAGTACAATTACAGAAATTTTCTTTGAAGTACAAAAATGGTGAGAAAGGACATACAGCAAAGTGTTAGCAGTTATTAAAATTATCTAATGGTAAGATTACACTAAAAAATTTCTCCCTCTTTTCTAAACTTATGAAAACTTATATATTAACTTTATAGCATGGGGAAAAAGTTCCTAAAACTATATTTTGAAAGAAAATATATTTAAATTTTAAATACTTACTTCAAGCCTGTCAATTCTTTATCTAAGAAGTGAATGACAACTGTACTGAATACGAAACTTGAGAAAATTGTGAAGAGGCCAGCAATGCCTAAAATGACAAAAGCCATCAATAAAAAACCTTTATCCTTTAATACATAAATAACAACATTTAGTCTCATACAATATTCTGAGATAAGCAATATTATTTACCTCTAGATTAGTGAGATCTCAAATTTCAGAATGTTTAACTAACAGCAATAAGAAAGGAATCTACTAAATGCATGCAAGACACTTTAGTAACACATTTCCAAATATTTCATTTAGACAAACAGGTTTATTTACACAGAAAATCAAAAATCTCATAACTTTTAAAAAATTAACATATATTTAAAAGTTAAATGTATGAATGTATTACCTAAAATGTATTTTGATCCAAGTTGACGTAAATTCTGAAACTGGAAGTAAATATACAGGATTGCTATGCATCGTGTTATGGTCAGAATTATAATGTCACTGCTCAAAACATCCTATAGGGAAAAGCATAAAAGAAAACCCCAATAGCTTTGGTAATACGCCAGCAAAAGTAAGATCTTTTGTATGTATCGTTAGTTTATATATCATCATAAAACTATAACTGTAGATACAAGTACAATAAAAATATCAAACAAACTGGAAATTAAACTTAATTTTTAAATAATTATTTTCACTGTTACTTCTAAAAGATATATTTCTCAAATAAACTCAAGTATACTCATTTGTGTAGGAAAGGTCCCAAAAAAAGTATTTCTACTGCCTTTTCCATACTACGTAAGTTAATGGAAATTTGGGGTATGTTCAGGAATACTAAAAGATTTTATTCATAACTTTTCTTGATTATATGGTCTCTGGAAGGACCATATAAGGTCTGGTTTGAACCTGAACATGTAATCTTTAAACTTTAGTCAATCAACATCACATTAATTTCACTAACCTCTTCAAACTTCGGACACTCATAATTCCAACCACAAATCTTATTATTGCCAGTAAACATGTTCATGGACATCATACAGATGGTCAGTGTCACTGTCCCCACTATGACTTCCCAAGGATGGGAGGCCACAAAGAGGCCATGCATTCGGAAAAGTCTTGACAGCATTGCAGCTACAGAATCCTGGGATCCTGGAAGGAATATCAAATATGAACACTTAGCATATAACTATGTTTAGAAAAAGATTTTAAGGTTCAGCCTTGGTGACACAAGTAGTAGAATGCTGATCTCAGTGCTGAAAGTTGCATGGTCAACTGGGTTTGGATTCTGAGTCCGGTGAAAACATGCTGGGTACCAAAAGGGGAAGGGGATCACAGAGGGGGGAGACACCTGTCAAGGTTGCTCCTTTCCTTTCTTTCTCACATGCATGTGCTCTCATGAATAATTTTTTAAAAAAGAAGAGATTTTAAGAAAAAGTATTCTATAAACCCTGTTTTGTATGCACAGTGTCCTATACATGACTATTTTACAGTGTTCCTTATAATTCTTAGAAACAGTTAAAAAAAATTAAGAGGATTCAGTTATCACTTCTTTATTCAATTAAATCCTTTATAATTAACTGGCAACCAACTTAAAAGCATAAAAGCACTAACATTTAAGATCAAACCCAACAAATACCTCTGCCTTTATTTTCTGAGTGGAGGGGAGTAATAAAGCAGAAAACAAAAGTGAAAAACAACTATTCACATTTTCTAATTAACCAGACATAAAACACTTATATGCCCCTTCATCATCTGTGTTTTGGATATACAAAAGTAACAAAGAATCTATTTATGGAGTCTTCTCTTGTAAATTATGCTAGTTTTATAAGTGCTTCAAGGGCAGATCCATCACCTTTTCATTCCATTAAACTTATGGCATAATGTCATTAGCAAAAGATGTTTAATAAAACTTGCTAATGTTGCTGTCGCCAAAAAGAAGTCTTTTCTAACAGATGTTTCTACATCAATAAAAAGGTAAGAATTTTGCTGTGGTGGCTGCTTTTTTCCCAGCAGAATCATCAACAACAGGGCTGCAAGATCAATGGAAAAACATTAGATGTGAAAATCTCCCTAACTTTTACAGCTAATCAATAGCTTTAACAGTAGTAGAGAACAGGCTGGCTGAAGTACACACCTATTGCATGAAAAGATTTCCTAACAGAGTATGTAGCAGATTTTGATCTAATGACTACCAAGACTAAATTTCCTCATGTTTGCTGGCTAAATAATTTTGATGTCCTGATTTTGAAAAAAAAATCTTATATAGCCACTGGTCACTGCAAAGGAACTTGCAAGCCTTATTTCTTACATTAAAATTACAGCCTATGATAAAGCATATTAGTTACCCATAAAAACCAACTAAAATTAATAGGTAAGCCTACCGACTGCCAATCTAGCAAAGATTCAAGCCAACCTAATATTTAATAGTAAGAAAATAAAAAGGGCAACAAATAACAATTATTTTTAAAAATCACTAATCTAAAGAGTTAGGGTAAAGGAAAAAAAAAGTTTTTAGGAACCAAGGTAATTATGAAGTGTCACCTCTCACTACGCCCATCATTCCGTGTTTTCTCAATTTTAGTCATACCAAGCCACTAACCAGATAACTGGTTTTCAAACTGTAGTTGATAACCCTTCATGGGTTAAATTAAATCATGAAATCAAATGTATAGGTAAGAATAAACATTTTAATCAAAAAACAATATAAAAAAATAGTTGTTGGCTAAGACTTATGATATGGATAGACATTTCTTGAGACTTCATTTTCATGAAACGATGCATATTGAGTGTGTGCCTGGCTTCCAACCTAACATGCATTTATTACAGATCACGATTTTAAAAGGCTGGCAGTCACTAAAGGATATAAATGTGACATGCACTTGCCTGTTTATTAATGCCTTTTCAGTCTTCCACCTTGAATCTTATCCATCCTTTTCCCAGCAGCACTTTGTGCTAGTATACAGCATTGTTCAACAAATACTTGCTTAATTAAAAAACAAATTGTTAAAATATGGTAATATGCCTTTTATCGATATATCTTTTTTTTTTTTTGGAGAGGTTTTTGCTATAGGGCACGGGCACTCCCCAGACAGAGAGAGACAGAGAGACAGAAAGTGAGAAATCACCCCCCAGGGGGGATGGCCAGGCCACAATCCCTTCTCCTCCATTCTCCTCTCGGGATCCTGGGCATGAACACACACGCGCCTGGCGTGAATTTTAAGCCACCAGGTCTGGGACACGAACCGCGGTCGCCTACATGGGAGTCCAGGAACATAGCCATTACGCTAACTGCTGGTCCTGATATATCTTGAAATAGACCTGAAGATGATTTTTTTAAAGGTACCTAGATATGGATATAAATCACATATCTTCACCTCTAGGTGAAGACTGAATGCACAGCAAGATATTATCAACAAAGTATCTTCTATTAAATTAACAGAGACTTTGACTTAAAGTACTGGAAAGTTTTAATCATATCTTAGACTTGAGCCCTATGTAATTACAACCAACAGCTTCATAAAAGGCTGTATTTTTCACCATCACATAATTTGGTATCCAATCACATAATGCCTTTCTTGTATTTAAGACCAAAAAAAACTAAACTCTACAAAGTGATCTAAACAATCAACCAGCATGGAGTTGGCAGGTGGCAAAGTGGTTAAGGGCACTGGACTCCCACATGGTTGACCATGGTTGGAGTCCCAGACCTGGCAGCTTGCTTTCTGACTTTCTCTCACTCTGTCACTCTTTGATCAAATTTAAAAATAAGTAAATAAATAAATAAAGTTAAGTAATTCTTAAAAAAAAAAAAATACAGCATCAATGTTTCAGAAAGTGAATTAGCCGTATGTCTCAAAACAAGAACAAAATTATTTTCTAACTCTCCTCTACCAAAAAACACCTTTCAACTTTGATTGTTTCTTAGCAATCAATCCAATATTACTCATAGTTATTAAAAACTTTATTCAGTTCAATTAAGATCTGAGTGGCTACCAGGAAGGAACTCTAAAGTCTGATCACAAATTAGTTTTGCATGATTAATTCATAATTATATACTAGGTACACTGTGTTTCCCCTCAAAAAGACTTCACGGTGGCACTGTCAATTCTAGAATGTAACATTTTTTTCCCTAAGTGAAGTCACCTTTGCAACATTCAGGAAAAAAATTATATATGATCCTGTGAGCTACCTCCCAACACAGAGAACCAGAGAACCACACCTACTTGGAAGCAGAAACAGCAATCTTATGAAGGTGTGCCATAAGTGACTATAATTATACAGTCTAATTTCTCAAGAGCACCTTCCCATTTCCCTGTGAATATGCAAAACATGTACATGCCATAGAATCCAACCTTCCACCTTCATCAGCAGCTGTTAAGTGGCACTAGCAGGCTATAGGACAACTCTTGCAAATTCAACAGAGTATTATGCCATTTTGCAATATGAATTAGTTTTGAAGACAACAAAGTAGATAGTCAAGGAATGCCCATATTTGGACTAACATTTCAGATTCTTTAAAATAAATCATTTAAATGTACTGGACTCCTTTTATTGCTAATCCAATCTGCCAAAAACCACCTACCAGGGCCAATTGCAGAAAAGGATATTTTGGCATCCTACACTGATTTCCTCCCACCTAATACTCCTCCTATGTTCCACATTCCAGTATTTGATTATACATTATTTTACACTCTTCTCAAGTTAATTAAATGTGTACATTTTGTCTCTTTGAAGGCAAATATCAAGTCTTATACTACACTCACTTTTAAACCAATTAGCATTCTGCTTCCCAACCTAGTATCCTGTGGGAGGGAGGAATGATCAGGAAATCTGGACTCTGTACAATTCTATTATATTACATACTACCTGTTTCTAAATCACATTTCTCTTCATCTACTAGGCTAGAGATCTAAGCTCTCTGAGAAAGACATATATTTCGTAAGGTTCACTGAGTAGAACCATATAGAACTGCTGCTTTTTGTAGGTTAAAAATGGCCCAATTTCAGGGAACCAGCAAGTTAGCGTAATGGCTATGTCGCTGGACTCCCACGTAGTCGACTGCGGTTCGTGTCCCGGACCCGGTGGCTTAAAAGGTGGCTTAAAACTCACGCCGGGCGCGTGTGCATGTGTGCCCAAGATCCCGAGAGGAGAATGGAGGAGAAGGGATTGCAGCGTGACCATCCCCCCTGGGGGGTGATTTCTCGCTTTCTGTCTCTATGTCTCTCTCTGTCTGTCTGGAGAGCGCAGGCGCCCTACAGTGAAAATAAAAAAACAAAAAACTCTCCAAGAGATTGCAAATAAAAATCTCTCCAAAAAAAAAAAAAAAGGCCCAATTTCGGGGGCCAGCAGGTGGCACGGTGGTTAAGGACACTGAACACCAGTGGTTCAAGTCCCTGACCCTGGCAGCTTGTTTTCTCACTTTCTCATGTGTGTGTTCTCTCTCTTTCTCTCTCACTCTCATTCTGGCAAGCTCTCTCTTGCTCACTCTGCCCCCCTCTGGCTAAATTAAAATAAATAAAATAATTCTTTTAAAAAATTTACAAATTTTTAAAAAGGTCCATTTTTACAAATTGTAATTTTATGTTGTCAAGCTAAGTAGACTGACTCCATAAAGTGGTTATCGACCCATGGTCTAGAAACTACACTACAAAATATTAAAGAGCACACACACACATATAATTCATCTTGAAATGGTCATGATAAACACAACAGTTTTCATGTTAGTGCTATAATCTACAATTTTTTTAATCTTCATGTTACTAATTCCCGTAGGACCTAACTGCAAAATTTATCATAAATTTTGTAAAGACACTACAACAAAGCAGGCCTACGAAATCCAGTCAACCCCTAAAGTACATTTTCAGATCTTTGCTAGATTAAATCAGAAAATGTCCTTCACTACATGGAGATGAAAATAAATTCACTGGTTAACAAAAAATACATTCTCTATCTTATGAAACACTGAATTTAGGCACGATTATTTAGTATGGCCTATGACTTTACAGGATTAAATATAAGAAGGCATAACTTCAAATCCTGAAATATTTCAAATGACCACGTCAGGCGGAGTACACTAACCTCCTCCTAACCTACACAAACGGACTGTTCTAAATTTGAACTTCAATGACATGTGATTATCCTAATCCAAACCAAATAATACCTAAAACTTACAATGTTGGACCTGTGCACCAAGAAAACTATGTACCTTACAAAACACAAAAGAAGAATACTATTTAAGTCCTTGGAGGAGTCCCCACCCTGGGCTCCACATCCAATCAAACCTAATCTGTTCTGAAGGAAATAACCCATTCACGGTTCTTTTGTGGCTGGGTTCGCATCACCCAAAAGAAAGGCTGACGAACAGCAGCGCCTTGGGCGTGAACGCCTGGACTGCGCGGGCTGCGACTCCCCAGCCCCCCAACATTTCTCTAATCTAGCACCTCGGAGACAACCCTGCCTGCCACCCTTTCCGCCCCGATGACCGTGACTGCGCGGCCAGCACTGCCTACTTCGGACAGGGCCTGCGAACGCGGCTACGCCCCACTGGTCCGCCAACCGTGACTGCAACCAAGAGGCCCGACCGCCAGCCACCCCTCGGGCCCTCCTGGGCCCCGGGCACCCCTCACAGTGGTGCTGACCGTTGGGCCCGGCTCAAGGACGTCCCTTCTCAGTCCCCGCGGGACCGGCCGGCCACACCCGCAAAGCGCCCCCGCAGCTCCGCCATGTCGGCAGCGGCTAACTCGCGGCCCC